ACACCATTAAGCGTTTATACGAAAAATTTTCGACTGGTAAGGCTCTTTCTAATCCAAAGAGGCCATATAAAAGTCGACCAAGGCGATCGGCAGAGAATATCGCTGCCGTACGAGCCAGTGTTGAGAGGTCCCCAAGAACATCCCAAAAACGCCGTTCTCAGCAGTTGGACATGGCTCGGTCCACTTTACAACGGATTATTCGCATTGATTTGCATTTGTTCCCGTACAAAATTCAATTGACGCAAAGAATGTTGCCTGCGGACAAGCCTCGTCGATTGGAATGGGCCCAAAGAGTCATGGGTCCGTCGAATATGGGCAACTCTGTATATGGGATCTATTGAACTAATTTCCTCCAAATTTAATGTACTTGCTTCTAGACTGAATTTGGTTGGATGCACCAAGATTCAGGATTTTCGGACTGATATTGGCCAATTTGTGCACAATTAACCCGAAATCCGATGAAGATAAATATGGGACCTATATCCAAATCTGAACCGATCTTGGTAACATTTAGCAGAGGTATTTCTGAGCTCTGTAAGATATCTGGTACCAAATATTATTGTTGTCGAATGCATGTTACGAATTTGAGGGACTTAAATACCAAATCGATTGAAATATATATATGGGAGCTATAGCTGTATCTGAACCGATTTTCTCCGAATTCGATGTACTTGCTTCTAGACTGAATATGGTTGGATGTACCAAAATCCACGACCTTTGGACTGATATTGGATAGTTAGTGCACAATCGGTTGAGGATCTATATGGGAGCTATATCCAAATCTGAACCGATATTGACAAAATTTGATACACTTATTTCAGAGTTGTATTTGATATCTGATGAAATATATATGGCAGCTATTGCTATATCTGAACCGATTTTTAATTAAGTTGCTGCTAGTGTGAATTCGGTGGGATGTACCGAATTCATTTGGACATATATTGGTCATTTGGTGCACAATTAACCCGAAATCGGTTGAAGATATATGGGAGCTATATCTAAATCTGATCCGATTATCACCGATTTCAATAGGGTTCGTCCTTGGACCAAAAAAATATGGTTTGCAAAACTTCATCTCAATCGGATAATAAATGCGACCTGCATTTTGTTCACAAGGATACATGGACGGACAGTCGGACTGATTTATAAAGAAAGTAATTTTATGAAGACACTCAAAAGTACCTATGGGTCTATCTCGCTTCCTTATCCATGTTACAAACAAATGCACAAAGGAATAATACCCTTACCTCTATGTGGTGTAGGGTATAAAGGTAAAGTTGGAGAAAATTTGATTTTCAAGATGATTGTTAAATTTTCGAATAATATAACTTTTAAAGAAAAGAACATCAAGGGACTTGTATAAGTATGAGCATCGTTAGACTACTTCAGTATCCAATAGAAAAATTGCGTTTTAGAAAACTCTTCCTCAAATCTAAAAAAAAAATCAAAATATTTAAAAAGTACAGAAATTACCCGTTTAGTGTGAATCATAACGACCAAGATATAACCAACCGTCTGCTATACTTCCACAAGACCTTCAACTCACTGGGAATGTGTTCCATTGTGTCACATTATAAACACTTGGCTGCTTTCCCTTTTCATGGCGCATTTAGAAAATTATCACAATTTAATTAGTTGCTAAAGTAGTGAAATTTTATAATTGCCAAACTTTAATCGTCACACCAACAGTTCTTGGCCAGAGTTTATCCATTTCACAAGACAAACGTGCTTCGACACAACTTAATCTCAAACCAAAATGTATTTAAAACCCTTTTATTCAACTACACAAACACTTGCACACACACAGATCAGCTAAGCCTCAAAGTTCTATTGAACTTTTCCAAGTGGAGTAGGAGTAGAAACGAACAATATGCCGATATAGTATTCTCTGTGGAACATTGGTTTCAATAATTTTACCCTGACCTCAATTGAGAAGAATTCTTCTTCTCCTTCTTCGGTAGTTTGTTCCATTGTCGTCGATGAGTTTGCAACGCAATCTGCTTTCAACGTTTCGTTTACTTGCAGTTGGAATTGTTACTGCCAGTAGTGAGTACCTTAGTTAATGAAATGAAACGGAATTGTTGTGCACTGCTGTGGTCAGCAAAGGAAAGACTGTGGCACACAACTTTTATTGGAACTTTAGTGTTTTTGCGTCTCTTATCGACGATAAAAATTTATTATTTTTAGCAAAGTTGTCTCATCGATAATTGGCTAAGATGATGGACAAGTTTAAGAAATAATTTACAGATTTTTTTATTTCATAAGTTAAAAGGATTAAATTAAAGCAAAGTAAAGCCCACCATGAAATAAGAAATGGTAAATAAATGTGGATTAAAACAAGTTAAAAAGTATCAGTCGGATTTGCCAACAGATGTATATCCTCAGCCAATGTCCATTTATTTAAATATATTTCGACTTGGGTTATGATTATTTAAACTGTTGACCCTATATGGGGGAGTTTCCGAAGAAGAGATATTGTTAATTTTGTATATGACCTAGGGAGCCTATGGCTATATCTATACGAATGAATGCCAAACCCGATTCAATTCCGGTTTATATTAATCATTTAGTGCTCAATAGACTTGAAATCGCTTAAAAAAATATATGGGACCCATATCCAATTCTGAACCGATCTCGATAAAGTTAGGCAACGGTACTTCTAAGCTGTATTTGATATATGTCCACGAATACCTATGTTACGGAGAGCTTATTACGTCTGTGAAAGATAAACATAACACATCGGCTGAAAAATATATATGGGATCTAAAGATATATCAGCTCCGATCAAATTTGACACACATGTTTATAGGCTCAATTTGGTCGAATATGCCAATATCTAGCCAATTTGGACTAATATTACACATTTGGCGCACAATAGAAATCAAATCGGACGAAGATATATATGGGAGTTGGATTTTGACCGATTATCCCCAATTTCAATAGGGTTCGCCCTTGGTCCAAACAAATGCTTTTTGCAAAAATATTTTAGCCATATTTTTCAATGGAATTGCCTGAAATTCCACACAAGGAGTGCCTTGTGAGTATCTTTCCCTCTGAAGGTGAATTGTCTATATAGGTCCACGATATCGTATATCCCCCATATAACGGTACCCCTCGATATTCGGTATTTTGATGATTTTAGCCACATTTTTCAAAGGAATTGTCTGATAATACACACAAGGAGTATCTTGTGGACACTTTATCCCTTGGAAGAGAATTATGTATATAGATCCACGATATCGTATAGCCCCCAAACAACGGCACCCCGCGATATTCGGTATTTTGATGATTTTAGCCACATTTTTCAACGGAATTTTCTGAAATTCTACACAAGGAGTTCTTTGTGAGTACTTTACCCTCTGAAAGAGAGTTGTCTATGTAGGTCCACGATATCGTATGTCCCCCATATAACGGTACTCCCCGATATTCGGTATTTTGATGATTTTAGCCACATTTCTCAACGGAATTGTCTGAAATTGTACACAAGGGGTTCTTTGTGAGCACTTTACCCTCTGAAAGAGAGTTGTCTATATAGGTCCACGATATCGTATATTACCCATATAACGGTACCTCCCGATATTCGACATTTTGATGATTTTTTCCATATTTTCAATGGAATTATCTGAAAATCCACACAAGGAGTGCTTTGTGAGCACTTTACCCCTAGACAAAGATTTGTCTATATAGGTCCACAATATCGTAAATCCGCCCCCACCTTCCGATATTAATTATTTTAACGATTTTAATAGAATTTTTAATGGATTTTTTTTTTTTTTTTTTTTTTTGAAAAATTTCTAATTCGTTCCAAATGGTGGAGGGTATTCAAAGTTCGGCCCGGCCGAACTTACTGCTTTTTTACTTGGGTATGCTGATTTCGTTGTCGAATATAGCCAAATATAGGAGACAAGCAAATCATATAGATGAGACTTCATTTGGAGATACAGAAGGCCTCTTGCTTTTAAAGATGATCGCAAAATATTTAGGGGTTCAAATGAACCAAAAACAGAACAATTTTCCGGATCACACAATTCCAGCCAATGGACACGAAATTTTGTATGAGAATGTATGACCATTGGATTATATTTAGCTGTAAAATGGACCACAACCACTAACAGCACGACGGAGTGAGTAAATATTGTGCAAATGCTCCTGGTCCAAATGCTAAGGGTAATATCTGGGCAGTGCTGTATGACATAATTTCAAAATCGAAATCTTCCAAAATGGATAAGGACATAAGGCGGCTTCCAACATATTGTAGTGTCGGCCCCGCGCGGCTATAGCCTTTTTCTTACTTGTTGTAATATAAAATTGTCGTTTTTACCGTTTTGGTATGGCCCCCATAAAACGGTCTCACTCACAAGATTAACTGAATCATCGAAACGATCTTCAAGGTATATGTGTTCAATGTGGAACACTTCAAGCGTGTTCAGATACTTTTATATAAAAATTTTTTCTTTACCCAATGGCGGAGTGTATTAATGTATTTTCTCCTTGTTTATACATATTTAGTTCAAGAATTTAATGTTATTAATTAAATTTCAATATTGCATATATAATTCATTTCTCTTGTGCCTCAACTTGTACATTACGTCGCCAACTTAAGTCACATATTTTAAACATTTGTATTCCAAACCACGATGAGAAATGCCGCATTTCCGTATTTAACCTAAAAATGTGCTACGGTTTCCGCTGATTCATCCCATTTCCCTTTATCATGAACTAACTGTACTTCACTCTCGCACTTGAACCTAACCAAATGTTCATGTTGTACTTTCTTTTTTAAAATCTCTTTTCGATTACTGCTATTGCTGATGTCGATGCTGGTGCTGGTGCTGTTGCCGTTGTTTGTTGCTGGTTCTCTGGCATGCTCTTCTGGTTGGACACTTCCTTCCTTCCGGATGGTGATGGCGATGATGACGATGACGACAACGACGATTTTCGTCTGGACCTAACTATGGCGAAACGAACTCGAATGAATGTTGGATGAATGGATGGTTCAGCTCACCACTTATGTCGGCCTTTTGTGTTCGAGTCATGACTTATCCCTGGATGTGGATGTTCATGAAGAACCCATCGCAGGGTGCACAATCCGCCATACGCCTGGCCACAGATCCCAAATTGAAACATGTAACAGGCGAATATTTCAAGTAAGTTTGATTTATTAATTTTCATCATTCTTATTCAAGTTTAGTGGTTAGGGAGGAGGAAGGATGGTGGTGAAATACCCACTGACTGAATGACGGCCACCATCTATTTCAAGTAGCTCCATTCAAATATAATTTTCACTTTTCAACTGATGGCACTTTTGTTCGTCCGTAGTTGGCTTAGCAACGAGTAAAAGTTTTATTAAACCTCTCTATTGTATTTAATCATTCCATTTAGAGTTTTGCCTCCTATTCTTCGACTCTGGCGGCGTTCATCATTGTTTGTTAATTTCTTTTGTCATTCTCTTACTTTTCACAGCGATTGCGAAATTGCAGTCTCCTCACCACTGGGGCAAGACAAAGAACTGGCCAAAAAATTATACCAACAAACCATGCGAATTTTGAAGATAGCTACCAAATTGGAAATTGATAAAGGAGAAGAGAAGGAGAACGAAATTCGAATAGCATCTGCAGAGGAATCAAAGGCGGCAACAGCCGCAACCTCAGCAACACCAACACCACCACCCCCATCATCGTCGTCGGCGTCGTCAACATCTGCAGACACATCAAACATTCAGCAGAGATGGTAACAGAAACTGCGACAAAAACAACAACAACAACACCAACATACAATCTGCTTTTATTGGTTAGCGTCTTTTGCGGCTAATTCCTCCAACCACCGACAGACAACAGTCAGACACACAGAGGATGTAGCTGCTGCATGGATGGCTGGATGTAATGTGAAAGTGAACAATGGCGCAGAATTTAATTAAAGCAATCATCTTTATGGATTTTTATTTACATAACTTTCGTAATCCTTTTATGTCTTTTCGTATTTTTTTTGTCTTGTTTGTCATACATTAATAAATAATTCAGTGCGAATGAATGTTCCGCGTTTCTTGGTAATTTTCTTTAACTGGCATACAAGTCACATGAATTGTAAGTATAATGAGAAGATATTAAAGTAAATATATGATTTTAATTTTAGAGGCATTCGTTTATAACCTACACCAGCTTAGACCAAAATAAGACCACACAAAAATATTCAAAATATATCTTAAGAGTATCGATATATTAGGTGCCATCGTTATATGGATCTACACGAAAACGTAGTCCAGTAGAGAAATTTCTTTTGCAACTGCAATCACCAACTTTGAAACAAATTTGTTGAAAAATGTGGCTAAACTCACTAATATACCGACTTTTCAGAGGAACAGTTCGACAATGGGTCAACATGGACCTATATGAAAGGTTATTAGCGAGGACTAATTCTGTAAAGTGGGAACACGAAGTAACATCTGAAGCGCTGGCTTGAGGTGATTGACATTTTCGTATTTTTTAGTGCCAACCTTGCTCTCCAAAATACTCCAGACACAATAGTCCAACTGATTGGTAACCGGAGATTTTGGTGACCATTGTGTGCTGGAAATGAAGCGAGGAACCTCATTTTTTAACCATTCGTGGGTGGCGCGTGCTGAGTGCGATGGTGCTGAGTCCTGTTGGAATGCCCAAGGACTGCGGCCAAAATGTTTGCAAGCCCAAGGATTTAATACACCCTCCAGAATATTTTCGCGATAATATTCGGCATTTATTCTCATGCCATGGTCGATTAATACGAGCGACCATCGGCTGTTATCGCGGCCCACACCATCGCAATGGCCGGCGCTTGAGTTCTGGTGGCCAACCGAAGGTACTCATTATCTGACCTTTTGGCAAGTAACCATTAAAGTGGGAACAACCAGTAGAGAAAGTCCTAAAGTCGAGCGGGGCCGATTTTATGATTCCCTACACCACTTTGCTAATTAAGTTGAGCTCCACATAACAATTAAAAGTTTTTATGGGAGAATTCAATCATACACGCTATGATTATAATTATAATTTAAAATTAAAAGGACTAAATATGCCGAAGCATTTGTATCTTTTAAATTCGGACTTGTATTGCCCATTTGGTGCAAAATTAATTTGAAATCAGATAAAGATATATATGGGAGCTATATCCAAATCTGAACCGAACTCGATAAAATTTGGCAAAGATATTTCTGAGCTGTATTTGATATATTTCCCTGAATATCGTTGTTACGGAGTGCATATTACGGCTACGAAGGACAGAAGTAACAAATCGGATGAACAATATATATGGGAGCTATAGCTATATCTGAACCGATACTTATTTGGTCTTTTTCAGGCCTAATTTTGTTGTATGTGCAAAATTTCGTACTATTCCGGCTGATATTACACGTTTGGTGCACAATAAAATACAAATCGGACGAAGATATATATGGGAGCTATATCTAAATTTTTACCGATTATCTCCAATTTCAATAGGGTTCGTCCTTGGGCCAAACAAATGTTGTTTGGAAAATTTCATCTCTATCGACCTGCATTTTGTTCACAAGAATACATGGACAGACGGACGGACGGACAGACGGACTGACATTCATAAATCAACTCAGAAAGTGATTCTATGCAGATCATCAAAAAGAACTATGGGTATATCTCGTTTCCTTTTGCCTGTTACAAACAAATGCACAAAGACATAATACCCTGACCACCTTGTGGTGTAGGGTGTAAAATGTAACATTTTAAGGAAAATTTAAAGAAAAAACTGGAAACTTTTAATACCGTAAATCGTTATATGAGCGCTATTCCAAATAGTGGAACTATATGACCCCTTTTCAATGCCAATAATTCTACGGCCCTATACTTTTGACTAACATCATATCAACCCATTTCATTCCGTTCCGAAGATAAATTCATTACCACAGACGAACAGACAGATGGTCGGACGGGCGGACAGACATGGCTAAATTCACATAGAATTTATTTATTTATAATTGTTTTGCTTACTTCAAGCTTACAAATAGAAAGAAAGCAAGTAAAAAAGCTATAAGTTCGGCTGGGCCGAACTTTGAATATCCTTCCCCATTTCGAACGAATTTGCAAATTTTCAAAAAATAAAATCCGTTAAAATTTCTGTTAAAATCTGAAAAATACCGAATGTAGCCGTTATAGTAGGGTCTATACCACGACGTGGACCTGCATCATCAAAATACCTAATATAGGGGGGAATTATTATATGGGGGCTATATCAAAACATGGCTCTGCACAGACAATTTTCTTTCATATCTATTGCGAACTTCAAATACCAAATTTGAAACAAAAACAAATTTGAAACAAAATATCGAATATCGACAGGTATCGCTATGTGGGGGCTACACGAAGACGTGAACCTGCACAAACAATTTGCTGTCATAGGCGGTAGTATCCATTACGAACTTCAAATACCAACAATTCCCGTGAATAATGTTGCTGAAATCATCAAAATACCAGATATCGGGAGGTACCGTTATATGGGGGCTATACGATGACGTTGACCTGCACAGACAATTTTCTGTCATAGGCTGTAGTATCTATTACGAACATGAAATACCAAATTCGAAACAATTTCGGTTAATAATGTCATTAAATCATCGAAATACCGAATATCGGAAGATAGCGTTATACGTGGCCCATTTTCAATGCCAAAAGTCCTGCAGACATAATATATATTTGAGTGAAATCTTATCAAACTATTTTTTTTCGTTCGGAAGCTAGAATGATTTCCACAGATGGACGGAAAACGCTAAATCGACATAGAATTTTATGCTGATCAAGAATATATATACTTTGTGAGGTCGGAGTGTTACAAACGGAATGACAAACTTAATATACCCTCCATACTATGGTGGAGGGTATAAAAAGTTCATTACATCCTTGCCCCATGCATTCTGTAATATTCATGAGAATAGCCGACAAACTTCGTAACCGACATAAACTGTCTGGTTGACCCTGCCCAAAAGTTTTTAATAACTCGAAGCATTGGTTATAAGCCCAACCGATCATCATCATATCTCCACGTCCGTCTGTCCATTATAATTTTCATACCCTACACCATATAGTGGTAAGGGTATTATGTCTTAGTGCATTTGTTGGCAACATTGAGAAGAAAGCGAGATAGACCCATAGCTCCTTTTAAGGATCTTCATAGAATCACATTCTGAGTCGATTTATGCGTGTCATTCCGTCTATACGTCTGTCCATGTATTTTTGTGAACAAAATGCAGGTAGTATTTATTATCCGATTGCGATGAAATTTTGCAAACAATATTTGTTTGGCCCAAGGACGAACCCTATTGAAATTGGAGAAAATCGGATAAAATTTAGTCGAAATCATCTGAATTATGGCACATCCAACCAAATTCAGTATAGAAGCAAGTACATCAAATGCTGGGAAAATCGGTTCAGATATTGCTATAGCTCCCATACATTTTTATACCCTACACCACAAGGTGGTCAGGGTATTATGTCTTTGTGCATTTGTTTGTAACAGGCAAAAGGAAACGAGATAGACCCATAGTTCCTTTTGATGATCTGCATAGAATCACTTTCTGAGTTGATTTATGCATGTCAGTCCGTCTGTCCATGTATTCTTGTGAACAAAATGCAGATCAAAATGGCCCAAGGACGATCCCTATTGAAATTGGAGATAATCGGTAAAAATTTAGATATAGCTCTCATATATAACTTCGTCCGATGAGCCATTTATTGTGCACCAAACGTCTAATATTTGTCCAAATGGGATGGAATTTGGCACTTACGACCGAATTTAGTCTAGAAGGTAGTATGCCAAATTTGGTGAAGATCGGTTCAGATATAGTTATAGCTCCCATATATATTGTTCATCCGATTTGTTGTATTTGTTACCTACAGCCCTAATATGCACTCCGTAACAACGATATTCAGGGAAACATATAAAATACAGCTCAGAAATATCTTGCCAAATTTTATCGAGATCGGATCAGATTTGAATATAGCTCCCATATATATTTTTATCTGATTTCAAATAAATTTTGCACCAAATGGGCAATACAAGTCCGAATTTAAAAGATATAAATGCATATTTAGTCCTCTGAATTTTAAATTATAATTATAATCATGATTGAATTCTCCCATAAAAACTTTTAATTATTAATTGGAGCTCAACTAAATTAGCAAAGTGGTGTAGGGTATCATATCATATCATTCTTTACTGGTTTTCATCCGATTTGGGATTTTAAGTCCCTCACATACGACTAAAAGATCGGTTCTGATTTAAATATAGTTCCATTACATATGTTTCATCCTTGACTTATTTTTAGAAAATAGTTTCAAGAACCTGTTGAAGAAAATTAGATTTAGATTTATTAAAAAACATTTTAAGGACCTCCTGACAAAATGCTGTGTATTGTCTAGAGAAAAAATTCAATGAGGCTAAATAAGTACTTGTTTGCGCATGAATGAAATGCTACTAAATTGGTCTTCGTCTAGCCATTAAAATAGTTTCTAATATATGTTGTTTTATTTAGCAGATAGGTATTTACCCGTAACACTCTATACTATGATCAATTTTTTTTTTCATCTCTACCCTTCCGCCTTATCGGAAATGATGCAAACTCTAAAACGAATGCCCATCGCAATTGAAAATTGGTATGAAAAACTTTGAAATTTTACTGGCACTGCATAATCTTTCAGCAGTATTGCAGTGAAATCTGTAAAAAACCTAATCCTATTTCAAATGGTTTTTGTGTGAACCACATATCGTGGCCCGTATTTTTGGCAAAAACCTAACTCTGTGTGTGTGTGTGTGTGTGTGTGTGTGAAATTGGGAGATAATATTGGTATGGCCAAGATATAAAAATAAAAAATAAAAAAATAGAATATCTGGTAATTGGATCAATGTACAATCATCACGGCAATCAACAGATTGTTACAATAAAAAAAATAACAACATTGACATAAAGAAGAAACTTTCAATAAAAGTTGTTAAATCGTTGTTGTTCATTCGCTCATTCGCTCAGTTACCCAGTCACTCG